ATGGACCAGCTCGTGCAGATTAGTTTTCTTTAGTTTTTGCTTGCGTTTAGGAAAGTAATGATATTTATCTAGTTTAAAAGAAAATACTTTATTTTATCACGATAAAAAAAAAAAATCATACATAGGATCTCGTTTGTTAGAGTTCAGTTCCTACCTCATTTTTTATCACATTTCACTAGCGTTTAGGAAGCTGATAATTATTATTATTGTTCTAGTTTTAAAGGAATAGTCGCATGTAATAAGTATTTTTTTTAATAACAAACTTACCTTAAGTTGGCATTTGAATTTGTTTTCAAGGGGCGGGCGTCACTTGGACAACTCACATGTGTAATTAGGTTTCGTTACTAGCAATAAATAGGTTTGTATTAATGCGTGTTTCAATTTACCGCAACGTCACAATATTGCTTGGTAACTATGTGATGAGTCTTGAGCACGTGCTCTATTCAAGATGGTGGCGTTTTCCAATGTTACATAGTGATGTGAACCTTCGTTCGAAACCCGAGAATGCTTCTACACATAAAACAACATACGAGAACCATACTAGTACCGCAGAGGTCAGTGGTTCGAATCCCGTACAGGCCTGAATTCTTTTCAGGTCTGATTTTCATTATTGCTTAAATAGTGCTTTACTGCGAAGGATCGTGCACATATACGAGAACCATACTGTAACTGATATTACTTTTTTTTTTTCATTTTTGTATTTTATTGTTAGGATTACTTTTTCCGTGATATCAAACGACAGCGAAACGAACAACCTGAGTTTCAGACAACATATTACGAGTTCATATTACGAGTTTATTTCCTTGCCATTTACTTAAGATGTTACTATTCTTCAAGTTTAAACACTCGATAAATTTTCGGGCGACGTGACTATGAATTTCGGGCAACATGACTCTGAATTCGGGCGACATGACTTCGGGCGAGATGGCTTTCGAGCGACTTGACCGTAAACCGTTTCATCAAGACCCCTAATGATCCATGAGAAATACGCTCAACTTACCAGACAAGTACTTTCGGCTTAAAATTCTTTCCCTGGAGAATAAAAGCAGAACATTAACCGTTTCAAATAAGAGGCAATGGAAAGGAAGAAAGAAGTTACCACGGCTCGTGAAGGCATTAAGATTGATTTCTCCTGGTTTCTGTTATAGTCCGTCAAGCCGCCATACTTCGTCTCCATTCTCGTCTCTAAGCTACTGACTAATATTACGCCCGCAGTATTTGTACACACACATACATGATCTACATGATGTAACAAACATACAATATCTCCCTTCTCTAATTGCGCGGTCCCCTAGCACTGTTCATTAAATTGAGGAACATAGACGACAGAGATAGATTGAGTTATCCGCTTCGAATAATGTGAAGTTAGCTGAAATTTTAATGATAATGTTCGGTGGTAATGAAAAAAAGCATCGCGTCGAATTTGTTGAAAAAGTGCAGGCTGCTCGACAACAACGAGCTGAAGGAAAAGAAAGGGAAAGAGCTGCTATTCGCATTCAGGTATTTTGTTTTAAGACTGCCAAGGCTGATCGTGAATGAGGAATATGCTCCAAAAACCAAGTGATCGCCATTTATGAGTGTAAATGAAATTATGAAAATCCTTGAAAAGTTGCAACAATCTTTTAAAAACGTATGATGCACGATCCTCACAGTAGATAGCGCTATTTA